ATCAGTAGCTAAAACCAGGCCAAGGGTTGACTGTGGAACAGACCCATATATTGCTTATATGTAAATCAGGTTAAAGGTGAAGAAAATAAAAAACAAATGCAAAAGCCAAAATACGACCTTGAGTCTATGACACCTGAATTTCAAGAATATCTCAAGAACAGATTTGATAAAATGAACAATAATGACAGAAGACCTCATGACGAGCTGTGAGAAGACATCAAGAGTATCATCCAGAAGAAACAAAAAATCATTACAAAGATAAGAAAGAAAAGATCAAAGTGGACGTTAGAAGAGACTCTGAAACTTGCTTTTCATTGTAGAGTAGCTAAGGCATGTGGAAGAAAGGATGACGATAAAGAACTGCAAAGAAAATTTCAAAGGGCAGCTGGAGAAGATAAAGCAAAATATTGTGACGTAATGTGTAAAAGCCCTAGAGTTAGGAAACCCAAAAGTTGCAATATTGAAAGATTCTATGGGCAAAATATTGTAACAATATAGAAAGAGTCTAAAGAAGATGAAAAAAATAGACAGGGTCACAGAGAACTAGTCAGCATCCCACCATTCAAAGAAGTAGCACACGCACAAGAACCAATGGTCCTGCAGGAAGAAATCCAAGCTGCACTGAAAGCAGCAGCCACAAACAAGGCTTCAGGAACTGATGGAATACCAACTGAAACGTTTCAACACACTGACGAAGCACTGGACGCTCTTACTAGTCTTTGGTAATTTTACGTTAACTTAAAGATGAATGAAAGGGTAGAGGTGGAGTCAAACCTGTCAATCAAGTCGCAGCCTGGTGACTCCGTTATGGTTTAAGAGTGTGAGACACTGGGAACTGCTCCCTTTCTCCCCCTTCACCTTCCTGCTGCCAGGTTGCCAGCGACCTCAGAGCTACACTGACTGCACCCACTGGCCTGTAATCTTCTTGCATTCTGCATCATTGCTTGTTGCTGAAGAGGGACTCCTGAACTAGTAACGGACTTACAGACTTGAGTTGGACTGGGCTGGGATGGTTTCATGATATATAATTCCTTCTTGATATAAAGCTCTTTCTGATTCAGATATGAGTATCACTGGATTTGTTTCTCATGTCACCCAGCCTCACACATTATCTATGTCAGTAAATCTGGAAGACAGCTACTTGGCTAACTGATTGCAAGAGATTCATATTTGTACTCATTACCAAGAAAGGTGACCAACAGAATGTGCAAATTATAAAACAATATCTTAGAATAACACGCAAATAAAATTTTGCTGAAGCCCATCCAGAGGTTCAGGCCGGATTCAGAAGAGGACATGGAGCAAAGATTTCATTGCTGATGCCAGATGGATTTGGCTGAAAGCAGAGAAAACCAGAAATATGTTCACTATGCAAAGGTATTCAACTGTGTGGATAACACACTATGGATAGCCTCAAGAAAATTGGGAATTCCTGAACACTTAATTGTGCTTATGTAGAAACTGTATATGGATCAAGAGACAGTTCTGCAAACAGAACAAGATAATACTGCATAGTTTAAAATCGGGAAAGGTGTGCATCAGGGTTGTATACTTTTACTATACTTATCCAATCTGTATACTAAGCAAATCATCAGAGAAGCTGGATTATATGAAGAAGAATGTGGCATCAGGGTTGGAGGAAGGCTTATTAACGACCTGTGATAGGCAGGTGACACAACCTTGCTTACTCAAAGTGACGGACTCGAAGCACTTGCTGATGAAGATCAAGTGTTATGGCCTTCAGTATGGATTATAAGTCAATGCCAAGAAAAAGCAAAATCCTCACAACTGGACCCATAGGTAACATCATGCTAAATGGAGAAAAGGCTGAAGTTGTCAAGGATTCTGTCTTGCTCTCATCCACAATCAGTGCCCATGGAAGCAGGAGGCAAGAGATGACAAACAACGCATGACACTGGGTCCCTCTGCTGCACAAGGCCTCTTGAAAGTGTTGAAGAGCAAGGAGTGACTTTCAGGACTCAGGTGCACCTGACCCCAGCCATGTAATTTTCAATTGCTTCATATGCATGTGAAAGTTGGACATCGAATAAGGAAGACCAAAGAAGAACCAATGCATTTGAATTATGGTGCTGGAGAAGAATCTGGAAAGGACCATGAATCGCCAAATGAACATACCAATCTGTCTCGGAAGTATAGTCAGAAAATTCCTTAGAGCAGCAGTTCTCAACCTGTGGGTCACAATTCCTTTGGGGGTCGAACGACCCTTTAACAGGGGTCGCCTGATTCATAACAGTAGCAAAATGACAGTGATGAAGTAGCAATGAAAATAATTTTATGGTTGGGGGGGGTCACCACGACATGAGGAACTGTATGAAAGGGTCGCAACATTAGGAAGGTTGAGAACCACTGCCTTAGAGGCAAGGACGGGGAGACTTCTCATGTACTTTGGACATGTTGTCAGGAGAGACAGCTCCCTGGAGAGGGCCACTGTTCTTGGTAAAGTTGAGGGGCAGGGAAAAGGAGGAACACCCTTGACAAGATGGATTGTCACGGTGGCTGCAACAAATGGGCTCAAACATTAGAACAATTGGGAGGATGGTGCAGTGTTTTGTTCTGCTGCACACAAGGTGGCTATGAGTTGGAAACCACTTCACAGTACCTCACGAGAGCAACAGAGACCAGAGATGGACTTGAAGTGCCAAATAAACTGGTCTGCAGATCTGGAACCAGATACTTCTTTGCCCTCTTTGCCTCCCTAGCAACATTTCATAAAGTGAGCTCTAGCATTTCTGTACGTGTAGTGCCAGCCTTATGCCAATTACCACATGCTTTGATGGAAACACTAATAAACTGCGATAACCACCAGTATTCTATTCATCCTCCTAAATAAAGTCTGCTAACCTGTTAATAGATGGCTCTGTAAGTATAGGCATGTACATATGTAAATATATTATTATACAACCATAGGGATCTAGGTCAAAGTACACATATTTATATGCTAAGTATTAAGGTAGCAGACAGACATTGGGCCTCTATTCAAGTCCTCCCTCAACACAAGAACACTTTGTTCTAAAAACCTGGCATTCCGTGATGCTTACCCTCCTGACATGATCGCTGAAAACAAAATGGGTATCTGGGGTCATAAAGGCTTGAAGGTAAAGAAGCGGCCTTCTAGCAGGGAAGCAACAAAGCCCACATGGAAGAAGCACAGCAGCCCATGTGATTGTGAGGTGTTGATGGGATCAGGTATCAGGCATTAGAAGGCATCAAACATACAATCATATCGATGTGAATGAGGGGGGTTTATCTATAGACAATGAGACATCCCTTCACAGAAGGGTCACAAGGAAGGGACAAACCAGCCAGGGTGCAGTTTAGCACCAATGAAACACACAGCATTCCTCTAGTTCTTTAAAGATCGTCCCTCTCCCCCCCAACTATCATGACCCAGTTCTACCTTACAAATCAGGCTACACTGGAGCATGTACATTGGTACAGATAAGGGCTCTCGACACACAGAATCCAGGGCAGATAAACCCCTCAGGAACAGTAATGGGAGTAGCAATACCATGAGGGTAAGGGGGGGGGTGGCAATCACAATGGTCAATGTATAGCCATTGAAGGTGATTTCGCTTGGAAATGAATTTAATATATGGTAACACTGTTTTAAAGCTCTTGGATCAATGACTACATTGTACACCTTAGTTGCATGTACCAGTGAGTCTTTTTCCGGCGCAAATTTGCAAAACATTTCTGAAACCAATAACTCTGCAGAGAACTGGAGAGTACAGTCCCTTTCTTGCTCAGTCCCTGCCTCCCCCCCATGGGAGACGAACAACAGAAACATGGGTGAAGGGAGACAGAGGATGGTGCAAGATATGAAAATACCCATTATTTAAATGTATCAAGGGTTCATGAGTGTGGGAGGCTGAGGGAGGGAGGGAAAAAAGAGGAGGTGATACCAAGGGCTCAAGTAGAAAGAAAATACTTTGAAAATGATGATGACAACATATGCACAAATGGGATAGATACAACTGATGTATGGATTGTTCTAAGAGCTGTAAGACACCCCCCCCAATAAGATGGTGACTAATAATAATAATAATAAAAGGAGAATTCTTAAGCCTTAAAAAAAAAGACAGTAAGATTAAGTATCCCAATAGCTTATACTCTGTATCAGACATTGTGCATACATTTATTAATTGACTCCTCACAACTCTGTGAGCTAAGTGCCTTTCCATTTTAGAAATGTCAACGGAGATGCAGAGACGTTATGTCATTCACCTAAGGTCACACAGCTAGCAAGTGACATGGATGTGATTTAAACCAAGGCAGCCTGGCTTTAGAGCTAGTGCTCTTACCTACTGTATTGCAGTTGTCAGTCACAATGAACATTATTAATTGCAGAATTTACTCTGTATTTCAATTTGTAATAATGTGGACTCACATTGTAACTGATTTCTTATTCCTAGAACGGTTCCTCTAGTAACCAGATGGGAAATGAAAAGATACATGTCACTGCAACATAATGCAGACATCTTACCTCCGAGAAGTTCACTGGCCCTCCCATTCCACACCACTTGCTTGATCCGTGGAAATCTGAAGCTATGCCCCTGAGCAAGAAGGGGACTGAATGCTCCAGTTGCCAAGAGGCATAGAAGGTCCCAACCAGCCTGCAGAGTTCACTGTTTCAGAAATGTTTTGCAAATTTGGACAGGAAAAAGACTCACTGCTACATGCAACTAAGGTATTCGATGTACTCATTGATCCAAAAGCTTTAAAACAGTGTTTCTTTTTTTTCTTTTTTTAAAAGTGTTTCCATATATTAAATTCATTTTTGAAACGAAATCACCTTTAATGGCTATTACTAATCATGGCCTTTTCTATCTTATCATTATCCCCACTGTTGCAATTTAATCATATGGAGAAAGGAAAAAAAAACCCCGAGTATTGAATGTAAGGTGGTTTTCTATAATGTTAGCCATAAAAATGCAGTTTCTCTGTTTTATATTCTGGAAAATATCATACTCCATACTTACTGAATCCACAAGATTTTCTGTTTTGTCTATCAATAATTCCAATCTTTCTCCACGTTGAGCTACCAGATCTGAAAAGAAAAGAAAAATGGAAAAGATCGTGTTTTACATTATAAATCTGGCATTTATTTTTGCCTTGGTTTTAAAGCGCAAATCTGATTATAATGATAGCTGATATTCTTGATAACTCATAGAAGCACTCATACTTTTAAGTCATAAAATACATTAACAAAGTTTACTAACTTAAGTGTTGTTGCTGTGAGGTGTGAAATCAGTTCCCACTCAGACCGACCCTGGTACAACAGAATGTGACGCTGCCTGGGCCTGTACCACCCATACAGTCATTGCTCTCTTTAAGCCCATTGTTGCCACCATTGCGTCAATCCATCTCCTGCAGGGGCTTCTTCTTTTTCACTGGCTGTTTTACCAAGCATGATGTCCTTCTCCAGGGACTAGTCTCTATTGCTAACATGTCCAAAATATTTAAGACGAAGTCTCAACATCCTCACTTCTCAGGAACAGTCTGGCTGTCTGTGCTTCATCCAATAACTTGTCGCAACAATAATTCAACTGCATAGATTCTTCTTTGATCCTCAATGTCCAACTCTCACATGCATATAATATTGCAAACTCCAAACTCACTGCCATAGTCAATACTGACTCATACAGGAGTAGACAGCCTAGTCTTTCTTCTGAGGAGCTGCTGAAGGTTTCGAACTGCTGACCATGCACATCACAGGCTAACACGTAACTACTACACCACCAGGACTTATAAAGCAAATGAAAATATCATGGCTCAGGTCAGGCATACCTTAATCCTTAAAGTAACATCTTTGCCTCCTTCCTGGGGGATGGACAGCAGAGAAGAGGGTGGAGGGAGACATTGGACAGTGTAACTTATGACAAAACTATAATAATTTATGAATTATGAAGGGTTCATG